CACATATATATATATATATATATTTTTTTTTTTTATTATTTATTATTATTTTTTTTTTAAACAACTTAGAATGACATTTACATACTTTTAACTTCTATAATTTGATGCACTTTGAATCAAACTATATATTCATTTGGAAATAATGTAGGGTTGGATTTAGTTTTTTTTATTGAATTATGTAAAGTAGGCTATGATTTTATTGATTTATATTATTTGTCACATGCCCTGGCATTGATTACATCAGCATTTTTTTTAAACAACTTAGAATGACATTTACATACTTTTAACTTCTATAATTTGATGCACTTTGAATCAAACTATATATTCATTTGGAAATAATGTAGGGTTGGATTTAGTTTTTTTTATTGAATTATGTAAAGTAGGCTATGATTTTATTGATTTATATTATTTGTCACATGCCCTGGCATTGATTACATCAGCAGGAAGGCGGAAAAAGCAAAGTGTTTCCATTGTGGAGATAGTTATTACATTTTGATGATAGATTATGAAAACAGACATTTTTATTTTTAGAATAACGTGCGCAGATGAATTGTTCACATTAGGACCAGGGTGATTTATTTATAACATAAAAGAGTGTTTTGTTTTTTTTCATTTCTCATGTTGTCTCTTTTTATACACTTGGCTTATTCTCTGTGCTCATGTTGCCTGTAGGAATTTGGCCAGCAGCTTCAAAACAGACAAAGCACTCTGACTACAATGACAGAGCTTGTAAGTAAGCTGACAGAAGGGCAGGAGTCTCCTGAGCATACAGAGATTGGACGACTGAGCCATGCATGGTTGGAGCTGTGCCATCAGGCCAACAATCTGCAGGCTCAGAGAGAGGAAGATCTGCAGAGGACTAAAGAGTATCATGACTGCATCAGTGCCATGGAAGCCCTCTTTGAGCAGGTGTCCAAGGAATGGGACAACCTGGCCAGGTAAAACTGTTATTCAGGATTTAGTGTAAATGTATTCATATGTCACTTTTAATTAGTGTTACAACGGAAGTGTAATTTGAGACTTCTGGGAGTTACATTATTATTTTATGATCTTGTAGAACTGATGCTGAGAGTTCATCTGATCATTTGGAGGCTCTTCGGAAGCTCTCGGTTGTTCTTAAAGAAAAGAAAAGCACACTTGAGGACCTCAAAGAGCAGAAGCAAAAAGTAATGTACCACTTAAACCTGGATGATAAAGAGTTGGTGAAGGAGCAGATTGGCCACTTTGAGCAGCGATGGGCCCATCTGGAGAGTCTCATAGAGAGGAAGATCCAAGACTCCATTGTGACCCTTGAAGACATGGGCCAAGTTGAGGCCCGTTTGAGGGAAGCTCGCGAATGGGCTGAGGAACAGAAGCCTGCCTTATCCGAAGCCATGAAGATGAGTCCTCCTCCTGAACTAGCTCAGAGTTTCCTTTTCGACCATCTAAGCATATGCAGTGAGCTGGAAGCCAAGCAGCTTCTGTTGGCTCAGGCTATGAGTGATGCAGATAGGGTTTTAGCACATCTGGGGCTTAACGAAAGGCAAAGACTGCAGCAGCTCATCTCAGATACTCAAGCAGAGGTACAGTCCTTGAGCGTCAAAGTTGCTCAACGAAGGAAACACCTGAGCAAAGCCTTTACAGAGAGAACCCAGTTCCTTTTGGCTGTGAATCAAGCTATCACCTGGGTCCAGCAAAATGAAAAGAAAGCACAAGCGGAGGAGTACATAGCCCTTCTTCCTGATGACCTATCTAAGCAGTTGAGGACTTGCAGGAATATTCAGAGCAGCTTGAGAGCCTACCAGAGTGAGCTGACATCCCTGTGGTCCCAAGGCAGGGATCTGATGAAAGACGCTGCCGAAGAAGAGAAATCAGAGATGCTAAACAAACTCCAAGAGCTGCAGAATATCTTCGAAGTTTCCCTACAGAAGTGTAGCCAGAGGCTACAGGAGCTGGAGAAAGTGTTGGTGACCAGGAAGTACTTCAAGGCAGATCTCGAAAAGATATGCCAGTGGTTGAAGCAAGCTGATATTGTGACCTTCCCAGAGATAAACCTCATGAATGGAGATGCAGAATTAAGTTCGCAGCTTACAAAATACCAAGAAATATTGGATCAAGCCATGGAATATGAGAACCTCCTGCTAACTGTGCAAAGAACAGGTCAAGAAATACTTCCCACTCTGAATGAAGTGGACCATTGCTACTTAGATGAGAAATTGATTGCTCTTCCACAACAGTACAATAATATTTTGGGACTAGCCAAGGAGAAACAAGAGAAAATACAACAAGCCGTTCTTGCCAGACAGGAATATGCCTCCTTTATTGATGTGACCCACAAAGCGCTTAAAGAACTTGAGGAACAATTCCACAACTTGGGGACGCAGTCTGTCGGCCTTAAGACTGAGGAGGTTGTCAGTCTTCAGGCTGATTATAAAGGCCTCCTGGAGGAGCTGACCAATCTTGGACAAGCCGTCAGTGAGCTTAACCAGAAGAAAGAGGGATTTCGTAGCACCGGTCAACCTTGGAGACCTGAAGAAATGACCCAACTGGTTAGCCTTTACAACGGTCTCAAAAGATTGATTGAGCAGAGGGTAGAACATCTTGATGACACTCTGGAATCTTTCGAGGACCATCAAGCCATGGCTATGCAGGTTGATTCAGAGCTGAAGGCCACCAAAGAGCAACTGGTGAAAGTCAATGCAGAGACGCAGTCAGCTGAGGAGAGATTACAAAACTATCATGCTCTGGCCGCTAGTCTTCATGGTGCCAGCTCTCACCTCACTCGACTCATGGAGCAGATGGATAACCTGGCACCCCACTTGGATTCCGCCGCACACGAGGCTTCAAAGCAGCGAGGAACCTCTTGGGAAGAGGAGCTTCAGTCCTTACAGTCAGCTGTTGGGGAACTAATTGTGGAGTGTGAGAACAGGTTTGTGCAGAGTAAAGACTTTGAGACAGAAGTCAATCGGACCTTAACTTGGCTCCAGCAAATCAAAGATGAACTTGGCTCTGAGGTGGTGGTAGACGTCAAGGTTGAGAAGGTCCAGGAGGAAATCCGAAAGCAACAGATTATGCAAGAGGAAGTTCAGTCGAGGCTTAGGATAGTGGCGGCTCTAAGCACCAGAGAGAAGCAGAAGTACACCAGTGCCAATGAGCTCGTCCCCCCTCATGTGGACTCAAGTCTACAAGAAATGGCCAAGCTGGAGGCTGATGTTCAACGTGCCCTCAGCTCCAAACAGGCAAGTTCTAATCCAAACTATCAATAGAACCAAGACTACTAGTTAAAGCACAACATTTTCAACATAACCCCCCAACATGGGATGCATTGAGCCTAACAAGCTTCTTAATAACTACCCAAGCCAGCAATACTTAGTTAACCAATGGTTCCCCTTAGCTAACTCACTAACGAATCCAATTGTTTCTCCTGTAGATAACGCTAGAGCAAGCTCTCGCCTTGTGCCAGAAGTATCACTCCAGAATGCAAACAGCTTGTGAGTGGCTGGAGGACGCTGTGGGCTTCTTGCAGCAGGCCAGCCTTGGGGTGGACGTGGAGAACTACGAGGAGTGTCTGAGGCAACAGGAAGACATCATGGCCACTGAACAGGAGTTCCTGGGTGTTCTTGAGGAGCTGGATTCATTGTCACCTCAACTTGAAAACCTGGTCAACCCTACAGCCAAGGATCAGCTTCGACTTAGTGTGGAGTCTGCACAGCAGAGAGGTGTGGAGGTCAGAGACCAGCTTCAGTGCCACCAAGACATCTTAAACAGGTACAGTTTAGTACAGAACACAATTTTCCAGAACATTTGAGCTGTAGCTTAGATCTATTAAGGGTAAATTTACCCAAGTTTTATGCTAATAAAGACCAATGTTGTAGTTGGATGTAGGTCTGAATTATAATCACAGTAATAATGTGACCTTTTTCAGCTGTGTTACCCAGTGGAATTCATATCAGGAGGCCAGACAGACAGTCATTGAGCTGATGAATGAGGCAGAGAAGAAGCTAACAGAGTTTTCCACAGCCAAGGCTGCAACAAGCCAGGAAGCTGAAGAGAAACTCCGTAGTCATAAGGTAAGCCAAGTGTGCAGAATTGACTCTCTTTCTTGAGTAGATAAACTTATTCAACTGTCTACATGATGATAAACCGATCAAAATGCCTTCATCTTTGGCCTTCAGTCGTTGGTATCCATGGTAAACAGTTTCCAAGAAAAGCTGACTGGTCTGGAAGAGCAAGCCTCCCAGTTAGAGCTGGTTGGAAGTGATGCCAGTAAAGCCACCATAAGTCGATCCATGACCACGGTGTGGCAGCGCTGGACCAGGTTGCGCAGTGTAGCACGAGGCCAAGAAAGGGTGCTGGAGGATACAGCCCACGAATGGAGAACTTTCAGAGAAAAGGTACCGTTTCACTGTCGATACTTGTGGCCAAATATTCCGGGAGTCCTCGTTTAATGTTATTATGATGTTCTGCCCCTACTCAAATTAAGGAAATGCAATGCTATAACTTTTAAATGGTTTGAAATGGTATATTGATTATATATCAAATTTAATGGTACATTATAAGAGTTTGGGCAAACAGGTAAACATTACAAAGACTTGATATCTTTTTTCAAACAACTTATGTTGCTCAGATGATGAAGGTAAGAGCTGTAACAGAAGAACTGAAGGGCCGTGTTCCTGATTGTACTGCTGAGAAAGCCTCCAAAGCCACACTGCAGTCACATCTGGACCAGTACGAGCTGGTTGGTCAGGACCTGGAGAGGGAGCTGTCTTCTCTAACCCTCTTACGACAGTACACTCTCAGCCTGCTACATGGTGTGGAGGTGTCTGTGCCAACGCCTGATCATGAACAACTGCCAAGTCTGAAGGAGATCAAAGCTGTGCAAGATCAGCTTGAAAGGTATATAACCTTTCTCCAATCCAATATAAACCAATAATAATGAAATCCACCAAACAATACAGTAACTCAATTCCATTTATGCTGTGTCTCTTGTAGTCTTCTGCAGAAGGCCAGGACAGGAAAGACTCGGGTTCAGCAGGAACTGTCGGACAGGGAAGGTGTGGAGAGAGGGCTGAGCCTTGTCAAGAGCTGGATACAGGACTCCAGGGAGCTTTTGCTGAACCCCACATCTGATCTGGACATTCTGACACAAGAACTGGAGGTGAAAAGAATATGTGAATTCTGTAGCCAACAATATTTGTTAAAACTTCAGTATGCTTCACTGTTGTCATTATATTGCATGTAAGTTAGGTGAGTTGAAATGAAGTTGAACACATGGCATGCAGTATTTCTGCCTAGTGCAGTATTTCTTGTATACTACACATTTAGCAAATATAGTGTGTCATCCTGGCATTGCATACATATAGCAGATTTGCATATTGTGCACAATGTACATACTATAATAGCATCATATAAATAGAACGTTTGTATAATTTTGATTGTCTTAATTATATTGTATCATTGTGAAGGTGATGCATGGAGAGCTGATCACTCATCGCCAGAATGTGGATAAGCTCGCAGAACAGCAGCAAAGTAAATACCTGGACCTATACACTATTTTACCATCTGAGATCTCAATGCAACTGGCTGAAGTGTCCCTGGCACTGGGATCCATTGAGGACCAGGTACATAATTACCCTTTAAATTTTTTCATTTTGGATTAATACGCAGTTTCTCATTAATTCGTAGGAGACATATTTTCAACAACATTAGCATATTTAATAAAGCCTTATGCAAGATATATAACATGAATCATATCTTTAGGTTCAAGCCAAGGAGAGAGACATCCAGAAGACCAGAGTTATCAAAGAGGAGTTCAACTCCAGAATTCATGACGTGTCCGAAAAATTGAAGGCTATCTCAACCTCTCTAAAGGAAAAGGCCACTGATATTGATCAGGCCAAAGATGAGACCAGAGTATGTGTTGCATCCCAATAATAGTAAAATTTATCAAATTTCTATTTTTTTATGAACAAATTTCCCTCTTTTGAATGAGCATAAAGTACTTTGACTGTATTCCTAGCGTCTCTGTGATGAACTTGACGGCTGTGGACGAAATCTCGCTGAGCTAGAAGCAGCAGTGCAGGACTTTGGTCGCCGTAACCCTCTGATAGCCAGACAGCTGGCTGATGCAATTGCCAAATTACGAGAGATCCATAATCACACTCTTCGACTGGCTGAATATAATACTATATGGCTGAAGAAGGTAAGAAGATATTTTATAGTATGTTTAAATAGAGAAAATAAACATTCAGCTAATACAAAAAAAGATACAATCTCAGCCTATTTCCTTCAGGCTATTTGCTTGGTTTGACCTTTTGATTAGAGCTTTTCATGTATTGCATGTGATGTGGTGTGTCTTTTTCGCTCAAGGCTGATGCACATCTAGATGAGTACAATGAGATGTTTGAGTTCATAGTGAAGTGGACAGACAGAGCCAGGAGCCTGGTGAAGGCCAACATCATCTGGAACTCCTCCTCGCACCTGCAAGAGCAGATCAGGATGTATCAGGTGAACATGTATCAATATGTATCATTGGCTGCATATGCAGCATGCACCAATCAGCTTGTGCCAAGTCGTTTAACTCTCTGAATATCACTAGTTACATTACATCCCGTGAGCCTGCGCCATCTAGAGTTTCATGACTGAACTATATATTTATTTTTGTGAAATAACCTACCTGTGTTTTTGACCTTGCAGTCTGTTCTGCGTGAGTCGCGTGAGCTCCATGGTGACCTGGAGGTCATGCATGAGAAGGTGGAAATACTGTCTGAGACGCTGCAGGTGGAGGCAGTGGGACAGCAGGTGTCAGAACTGAGCCGCCACACTGAGGAGCTGGAGCTGAAAATTAGATCACGACTGCATAGTCTACAAGACGCAGCAAAGGTTTGACATTTTTTAAAATGTTTTATTCTGTTAACTATGCTATTCTAAGTCAATTTTTGCCATGAAGATAGCCTTAGATGCTGACATGGCAATAAAAATGATAAACTAACTAACAAACTGGTAAGTACACTGGAGACTTTTTCTCTAGCTCAGCGTGACTGCATTTGTATTTTGTTTCAGGATATGGAGAGGTTTGAGAGTGAAGTGAAGGCCCTGCATGTGTCACTGGAGCAGGTTCAAGCCACTCTCACATCTCCTGAACTGGCCCGACTGAGTCTGAAAGAACAACTGACTCAAAGACAGGTGTATTTATCTGTCTTGATCCTCAAGAAGCATTTATTTTCCTCTTTAAGACACCCTCTAAAATGTTATATATAATACCCATAATTCCAAGCGTAACATACTTGACTACATGTTAGATGTTAGAAACCAGGAAACTTTAAGGAATAGTTCACCCAAGAGTGTACTCCTCCTCAGGTCATCCAAGATGTAGATGAGTTCTCTTCTTCATTGGAAACAGGTTTGGGGAAATTTAGCATTACATCACTTGCTCATCAAAGGATCTTCTGCAGTCAGAGTTTAATTGATGGACTTGAGTTGTGTGGATTATTGTGATGTTTTTATCAGCGGTTTAGACTCTCATTCTGACGGCACCCATTCACTGCAGAGGATCCATTGGTGAGCAAGTGATGTAATGCTACACTTTTGGATGGCTTGAGCATAAGAACATTTTCAGCAAAGTTTCATTTTTGGGTGAACTTTTCCTTTCAAGTATGCATAAAGTAAACATAATTTGAAGTATACTCTTCTAGGTAAATAAGTCTTTGGCTGTAGTGTAACTGGTTAAATATCTGGACTGGTAACAGAAAGGTTCTTCTGATTAATTATTGAGTGTTTTTGCTACATACATATTTTAGTTTGGAAGAGAAGCAGTTTTGTTCTTATAATAGAACACCATTTTAAAAAATTCATATTTTTTTCAGCGTTTGCTGGCGGACATGGAGAGCTTCAAGCAGCAGGTAGATGCCGTACAGGAGTGTCAGAGTGCTTTAAGAGTCCCTGAGGAAGTGGTGACCAGTCTGTCCATCTGCCGCACTGCTCTGAATCTGCAGCAAGAGGCCAGTCAACTCCAGCACACTGCCATCCAGCAATGCAACATCCTGCAGGTAGGGAGAGCAGTTGTGGCACCAGATGGGAATAAAAACACCTGCTTACCAGCCACCAAACACACCTGAATTTTCATGGATCATGTGTTGAGAGCTTATAGCTTATTAGGCACAAATGCTGTGTTTGTTTTATGATCTGTCAGAAAGGATTATAAATTAGAGATGTATTTAGAGGAAGTGAATAATGATAATGAACATTTTCGTGGGGTCTACATGATGAAACACCTTTGTAAAGGAACTATATAATGTCTCAATTTGTATTTAAATATGTCAAAGATATCTGAAAGAGGTTGGTTAAGGGGTGTAGTAATTATTATTAATCTAATTTAAGTAATGATATTAAATATAAAAAATGTATGTATTTGTGTGATGTCTGTTTAGGAGGCAGTGGTGCAATATGACCAGTATGAACAGGAAGTCAGAAACCTGCAGGCCATGATTGAAGATGCTCACCGGGTCATTCAGGACCAACCTGTGAACACCAGCAACATCCAAGAGCTGCAAGCACAAATTAACCATCATGAGGTGCAATGTTATTTTTTGTATTTACTATTATAGTATTTATTCATATTTTTCATTTTTCATTTTAATTTTAATTTTAAAGTTTTTATTTTAAATTTAATTTTAAAATAATTTTGTTATATGCTATGGAGCCTCGCACATGACATGTAGGAAAAAAATAGTAGGCTAAATTGTGCGCACGATTTACTAATTCATTCCCTCGATTTGCTAAATCGTGCACACGATTTATAAATAGAGAAAAAGCAATTAGTAAATTGTGCGCACAATTTAGCAAATCGAGGGAATGATTTCGCAAATCGATGGAAAGAATTAGCAAATTGAGGGAACTAATTAGCAAATCGAGGGAAAGAAATAGCAAATTGAAGGAACGATTTAGCAAATCAATGGAACGAATTAGCAAATCGAGGTAACAAATTAGCAAATCGATGGAACGAATTAGCAAATCGAGGGAATGATTTAGCAAATCCATGGAGCGAAATAGCAAATCGAGGTAACGAATTAGAAAATCGAGGGAACGAAATAGCAAATCGAGGGAACGAATTAGCAAATCGAGGGAGCGAATTAGCAAATCGAGGGAACGATTTAGCAAATCGAGGGAACGAATTAGCAAATCGAGGGAACAAATTAACAAATCGAGGGAACGAATTAGCAAATCGAGGGAACGAATTAGCAAATCGAGGGAACGAATTAGCAAATCGAGGGAACGAATTAGCAAATCGAGGGAACGAATTAGCAAATCAAGGGAACGAATTAGCAAATCAATGGATTAGCAAATCGAGGGAACGAATTAGCAAATCGATGGAAAGAATTAGCAAATCAAAGGAAAGAAATAGTAATCGTGAGTACGTTTTAGTACATCGATGGAACGAATTAGTAAATCGTGCGCACGATTTATTTATTTTTTCTTGCATGTCATGTGCGGGGCTCCGTAATATGTTTTTGTCTTTTTTTTTTTTTTTTTTCATATTTCTATATAGCTTTTTATTTATTGATATTATATTTTATATTTATATGTTATTTTAGTTCAGCTTTATTTCAGTTATTTTCATTTATTTTTAACATTTTAAAAATGTTAATAAAATAATTAAAAACAAATGAAATATTTATTTAAAGAGTTTTAGGTAAAAAATTCCAATTTTGATGAAGTGAGATGGATATTTAGATCAGAGATGCCACACTGTCTGCTAATCTTATTTTTGTGTTTTAACATCTACTGTTTGTGTTTAGCCAGACTGATCTTTCCTGTTTCTTGCATTAACCTAAAGGGCAACTAAATAACATCTTCTGTATTCTGTTTATTTTTATCTAAACAGGAACTGGCCCAGAAAATCAAGGGCTACCAGGAGCAAATTGCATCCCTGAACACCAAGTGTAAGATGCTGACGTTGAAAGCTAAACACGCCACCACGCTCCTGTCAGTGAGTGATGCAGAGGGTTTAACCGAGAGTCTGGAGGAACTGGACGGTGATGCTATTAAAAGAAAGACCCAATCACAAGTCTCCGTATGTATCATTACCCTGAACGCAGGCATGACATTGTAATTGTGGGAAAAGGAAACAGACTGGAGTGTTAAATGTTTAAAAAGCAATTGCTCTTTTTTCATAAATTCTAAGTAACCGTGTGCACTACAAAACATGATTTGTAATCATGTTTTTAATTGGCTAATCTAAATTTTTGTCTTGTATTAAAAATAGATATTCATCCTTAAATCAAGATAAATTTTCTCAACAAGCAAATGACACAAGATATTAGGATTGTTACCCTTGAAAAGGGTTTTCAGGTTAATCCAAATTTAGTTTTAAATATTTAAATTATTGATTCATGAAATCAAAACAAAAATACAAATTAAGTGAATGATACAGAATAAGAAGTCGACTTGCAGTGTTGATTAAAAACGGACTCTTATCTGAATTGCCTTTTTTTCTTTTCTCTCTGTGATCTTTGCATGTCATAATCAATTAACTTTATAGCTCTGTGAACTGATTGACTAATATCTTCTGCTCTGTGACTCTCTCTCTTGTGATGCTGTCAGATGTCGGCTGGTCGCTGTCAGTCTTTCCTGTCTCCTGTGACTGAGGAGTCAGGCGAGGAGGGCACCAGCAGTGAGATCTGCTCTCCTGCTCTCTGTCGATCTCCCTCTCCTATCACTAACACAGAAGCAGCCATTAGCAAGGTATTAACAGAAGAAAAAAAAAACTTTTGGTGCTTGATCTGATTTCTAGCAGACATGTACTGCCTTTTTGCAATTCCCAGTTTCACCTTAATTTTATTCAAAAAAAAAAAAAGGTTTGGAATAGAAACCTAACATAATATCTTATACGTAGTTTATACTGTATACTGCATACTAGTTGTGAAAATTGTAATGCAATAATGTTTTGAATAGCAGTATATTCAATTTTGAGTATCTTATCTTTGTCTACCACATAATTTCATATCCAAAAACAGAATCAAATTGCATCATTTTAAATATTTCTATAGAGTTTTAATTACTTTTTATTTCAGTTTTAGTAAATAGCAGTGTGTTCTGGTTGTATAATGTGCCTTTTGGTAAATGTAGTGGGAAATGATTTCATATATGCAGAAAATTCACATACTGTGCACAATATTCATACTGCATTCCAGGGTTATTATAGTTAAGTAAAACTAAAACCATTTTTAAAAATTGTTACTTGAAATAAAATAAACATTAACTGTTTTTAACTGTTTTTTTAACCGTTTTTTCCCCCCAGTTAGTTACCAAGGTAGCATTTCTTTTTTCAATTTAATTTAACCTAATGTGCTAAAATAAATAAAACAAAAGCTGCAATAAAAAATAATAAAAACTATATAGTTTAAACTATATATAGTTTCTATATAGACATGTAAAAAGACTAAAAATTAAAAAAAAAAAACTGTATAAAACAAACTCAGAATTATTAATAAAAACTAATAAGAGTATCTCAATGATACTAAAATAACACTGCTGCATTCCTGGTAGGTGTAGTCTGTCATTCTGAACATATTGTACGCTTAACGTGAACCTGAATCAGTATATGTTCATTCTGTGACAGACAGCAGTGCAATGACTTTGTAGTACATTAACATGATGTATTTGTTCTCTCTTATTTATCATCATCTTTTTGGACTGTCCTAAATTACAGATGTCCATGGGAAGGGCCACTCTCACCAGAGCGCCCATCCAGGAGCTGTACAATCCCGCGCTGGAGTCTGTAGCGAGCTTAGATGATCTTCAGCGCTCGTGGGAGACCCTGAAAAATGTGGTACGTATGACTTTTCTGTTCAACAATCAGATGCACCAGGATTGAAAATCTGGTCTTTAAGTTTATCTCTGTGTTTTACAGATAAGTGAAAAGCAGAAGACGCTCTACGAGGCTCTGGAGAAGCAGCAGCGCTATCAGGGCTCTCTACAGACCATCTCGACTAAGATGGAGTCCATCGAGGCCAGATTAAACGAGCCTCCTATGCACGATCTCAGTCCTGACAGACAAATGGTCCTACACCAGGTGAGAAGATTGAAATACTATACTCTAGCTCCAGTTGTAGACTGTAAGAGATTTATAAGAATATTGGTGCACAACAAAAACGTCATACTTCCGTATTCCTCCAGAATCAGACGGAGGAAATTGTCAAACTGCAGAATGATATAGATGAGCTTGAGTCCAGCTTTACAGAAGAGCTGATCTCTGATGCGGTGGACTCGGACTCTGCGGATCAGCTGGCCATGCAGTCCACACTCACTGTGCTGTCCGAGAGGATGGCCACCATCCACATGAAGGCTTCTGGAAAACGCCAACTTCTTGAGGTATGCCTAGAATAATAATTAAATAATATGTCTAATTTATTTTTTAGAACACCCTTCATACATAATTATTGCTCAGTATTTTGAAAACATGTTGTGAAAAAATAAAGTAAAACTTTATTTTCGGCTTTGGAAAGGTGCGACTTCAAGTGTAGTTTTGAAATGCAAACCAGGTGCCTATTAAAAAAGTTAGTATTGTTAAAAAATAAATAATATTGTAAATAATAATGAAAAAAAATACCTTTAAAGATAAAATATGATACAATTTAAATTTCTTCTTTCTCTTTGGAGTGTTACAAGCTCTTGGTGCATAAAGAAGATCTGTAAAGTTGCAAAGACTAAAGTCTCAAATCCAAAGAGATATTCTTTATAAAAGTTAAGAGTCAACCACGATAACAACGATTTTACAATATTGTAAAATATTATTACAATGTAAAAGAACTGCTTTCTATCTGAATATAATGTAAAATGTAATTTATTCCTGTGATACAAAGCTGAATTTTCCGCATCATGACTCCAGTCTTCAGTGTCACATGATCTTCAGAAATCATTCTAATATGTTAATATGATGCTCAAAAAACATTTTCAATTTTGAAAACATTTGTGCTGATATTCAAGATTATTTGATGAATAGAAAGTTCAAAGAAACAGCATTATGAATGTCTTCACTGTCACTTTTGATCAATTTGGTGCATCCTTGCTGAATAACAGCATTCATTTCTTAAAAAAAATAAATACATATTTTTTCTTTAATTTTTGGAAATCTTTTTTCTTCGTAAAGTTATGGTGTACTGACGTTTTCACTCATTTTATAGCCTGATAAAGGCTTCTGTTCTTTAAAGATAACTGGTATATATATATATATATATATATGCTGATGTGTGTAGGAGCGACAGAGTGAACGTGTGGAAAAGCAGCAACAGGCTCAGGCTTTGCAGCGCTACCTGAACCAGGCAGACCAGCTGGACCAATGGCTACAGAGCACTCGTGGTAACATCACTTCCTGCTCTCAGGACTCAGACGTGGAAGAGCAACTCATAGACTGTCAGGTTAGAGCGCCCCCTACAGCAGATCACAAAACGTGCACTTTATGAATTATTTACAGATTGAAGTACAAAAGAAAATGTATTATTTTGTGTTAACTCCTGAAATGTATGCCTGCTTTGTTTTTTTAAATGAATGAGTTTAGCTTAATTCCACTGGATTCAGGAACAGGAAACTTTTGTATCCGTAAGCAGCAGTATTATTAGAAGGCCTCTGAGCATTCAGATGGATTGATTCTTAAGCGTCTGTGGCACGAGCTGTAATCAGATTATGTAAATGTCTCAGCGTAATACCGTTTACAATTATAATGGCTTTAAGGTTATTAGAGGATTCCTGTGAGAGGATTGGTGCTCACTGGAAATCTGTCCCGCCCCTTATTACATATTCATGAAGCTGGCTGCAGCATTAGTGGTGAAAGAGGCGGGGCTACTTTTGCCTTCATGGGAAGGTTACAAACTGGCAGATGTCCCACGGTGAAACACCTTGACTTTTTATTACAAGCTTATGCGTAGTCTTAACATTTTGGATATTGGATATAATTGTAAGTATTTTTATACATTCCCGTTATCCTAAAGAATGCATGTGTACTGGGAGCATGGCACGTGAGGGATTATGGATAATGTACGGTGCTGTAGGTGTCAGTAAGGGCCTGGGATGAGAGCGGAAGAACCATGTTTGAGCTGGCCTCGCTTTTGTTGCTCCTGCAGAACATGCTGCTGGAGATCGAGGAGAAGGTGCTGGCTCTCTCCGAGCTCTCCAGACACAGCGAGAATCTTCTGCTGGAGGGCCAGCCGGAGAACAGGGAGGATGCGGAGCAGCTGGCCAGGAAGTTGAGTACACTGAAAGGCAGCCTGCTAGAGCTGCAGAGGATGCTGCAGGACAAGCAGATCAACATTCAGGTGGGACTTGAACTCTGAATCAAGGCTGGAAGCTTAGACTTTTTCGACTCAATGTTTCATTTGGATCTTTAAAAATATAATTTGCTTAAAAATTGCAGAGGTGGTACCACGTTATATGGTAATAGTGTGTTAGTACTATTATACTTATATGATACTGAATAATTAACTTATGCATATACCATATATCATATAATTACATTAGATGGTACTCCAAGAAAAAAAATTATTACAATGCCCAAAAAAACATAGTACTATCATGGTACATAATAATAATAATAAACTTTATTTATGTAGACTCTTTTTTAATAAAATGCATCTTAACATGGTTCACAGGTGAGAATAAAAATATTTATAGAAATTAAGCATGAAAGCAATAAAAACAAATAAAAGACTCAATACGAACTAACAAAGTTCTGTGATTTCAGTAAACGAGGCTTCGTTACATCTTAACTCTTTAGCAATGTTTCGAAATGTTATTGGTTCGTCATTAGGGGACGACCTCTGTGAACCCATGAACCAGTGTCAATGTTTTTTACCTCATCAGTTTATACATTTGTGAACATTTTTAATTACACATTTGTATGATAACGAGGAAGAATAATAGATAATAGAATATTATTGCCTGATTAACCAAGATGTCCATAAAACAAACAAAACAAGCCCTGTAAATGAATAAAAGAACACATTTCATACATATATTGCATATTAAATTCTATTTGATGATTTGTTAATTGTATTTCAATCATGACAACTCTCTGAAGATTTTAGCATGGTGATGGATATGACAATGTTAATGTATTTGGTCTTGGCGGAACAGATCTGCTACGCTGCTGCTGAATTGCTGCTGCTGTTGGTTGTTGCTGTAGTTGTAGATTATTGCTGCTGCTGCAAGCAAGTAGCAGATCTGTTTACTTGCTACTGCCAATGCATATGGCAATATGGTGCCGTGAGTATTTAAGACATACTGCTGCTGCACAAATAGCATATAAAATAACCCTGTAGCAGATCTATACAGGTGGAGCTGGGGAAGGTGGAGGGTTTCAGACAAACTCTGAAAGTGTGCTGCAGGAATCTCAAGTGAATGCTAGCCAGCCATATAAATGCAAGGCAGTAAGCTCATTGGCTGCATATGCAGCATGAACCAATCAGCTTGTGCCAAGTCGTTTAACGCTCTGAATATCATTAGTTACGTTAACACCCCATCAGAATGCGCCATCTAGAGTTTCATGACTGAACTATATATTTTTAGAGATTATACTGTAACTAAACGTCTACAGTTGGTTGTAAAAAGTGTTTTATGCATGTTTAGGCTCAGTTTTTGTTGCATTTACACCATTTTGACCAGCATTTTCAAGCGTGTTGAAACAATGAATCATTTTGGAAGCAAGTGATTCAGTTGATTCAAAGTTTCAAAAAGCTTTGTTTCTCTCATCGCTAGTTCACATAACTAAAATGACTAGTTCACATAACTAAAATGACTAGTTCACATAACTGAAATGTAAGAGGGTAGATGACAAGTAACATTAACTCTTTTTATCATCAAGTTTTTAGCTTAAAATGCATACATTTGAGCATTTTGATCATCTTTCCGATTTTTTTGCCGATAACTTTAAAATTCATAAAGTGTGACAAATGGATTTCTGAAAGTTCAGATATTTCCATGAAGTCTCTGAATTAATATGAGCATACAAAAAAATATATATATTGATTATATAAACAGATTGAAGTAAGAAAGAATACTTCATTTTTGATTATTAATTAATGCATTGAATAATTAGCGATTACTAATTGTATTTAATTATTAGATGTTGTCATATTTATAAACAGTGATTGTAGTAGTATGCCGATATTAGTTTTATTTATATACTATTATAAAATTTATTGATATTTTGAAAATTTTATATTTTCAGTTCTCATTTTGATTTTAGGTTCTTTTGTGCATTTTATGTTGTCTTGTCATTTTTATTAGTTTTAATTTTTGTAATATTTCTATTGAACTTTATTTATTATTTCAGTTTTTGTTATTTTAGTACTTCAACTTCAACTTTTTTTTTTTCAGTTAGTTGCCAGCATTTCTAATTTTTATCTTATATTTATATATTATTTTTTTGCTTTATTTTTTAATAGTTTTATGTTTAGTTTTAGTTAACCTGAAGACTGGAATAATGATGCTGAAAATTCAGCTTTGCATTACAGAAATAAATTACATTTTACAACATATTTAGATAGAAAATAGTTATTTTAAATGTTTGAAATTGATCCAATAAATGACTTTCAAAGAAATTAAAATATCCTACTTAATAAGCTGTTTCTTTCCCACTCATTATGTATTTGTATGTTTCTCTGACTTTATCAGACGTGGGGTCGTCTAGTTTCGGACTATCAGACCCTGTACCGATTGCTAGAGGCTGTGGAGGGCAGTCTGCCGACCGCTGGCCTGGTGGAGGAGATGGAGGAGAGACTGAAGGAAAGAATAGAGCTCTATCAGGTATGCAATGAAATCATGAATGTTAGGATTAGTTGTAATGTAGTCTAGAGTAATTTGCTAACATGGGTATGATCAGTGTATTAGGATAGATAATCTAATCATACCAGACTGACTGTATCTGACCAACTTGACCTTCCATTATCATCACCTTAGGCCCTTAAAGCCAGTCTGACGGAGCACCAACACAAGCTGCATCAGGTGCTGGAGGAAGGGAAGCATCTTCTGTCATATGTGAGCTGCTCCAGCCTAGAGAACCAGCTCACTCTTTTGGGCGAGCACTGGCTCAACAACTCCACCAAGATCAACAAAGATCTACAGATCCTGGAATCCATCCTGAAGCATTCAACCAGGTCAGGAGCTACATTTTTTTATTTTTTTAGAGTGATGCATTGTTTTATTCATTTTATTTCATAATCTTCATGATGAGATGTGCTTGATTGTCACAGGTATAAGCGTGAGTCTGGTGAACTGAGTCGCTGGCTACAGGAAGCTCTGGAACGCTTGGAGTTCTGGAACACACAGTTCGTTGCTGGTCCTCAGGAACTGGAGACTGTTAAAGACCAGTTAACAGCTTTTCTGGTTAGTTAGACTGGTTCATTGTTAAGAAATCACAAGCATGGGGTGTGTTTAGGATGTTGGTGCATTTGGCCAACCGGTTTCACTGGAAAACCACACTGGTTCAAGCTTTGCTAGTAAACCGTATTTTTTATTTTATTTAATTTTATTTATTTATTTATTTTATTTTATTTTTTAACTTGTTTCGTTTTTATTTTTTTATCCCAGTGTCTCAGACCATATTTATTTAATTTATTAATTTATTAATTTTTATTTTTATGTTTTTGTTTTATTTTTTAATTTTTTTTAATTTTTTTTATTTTTTAACTTGTTTCGTTTTTATTTTTGTATCCCAGTGTCTCAGACCATATTTATTTCATTTATTAATTAATTAATTTTTATTTTTATGATTTTGTTTTATTTTTTTTAATTTTTTAATTTATTTAATTAAATTTTTTAACTTGTTTCGTTTTTATTTTTTTATCCCAGTGTCTCAGACCATATTTATTTCATTTATTAATTTATTTATTTTTATGTTTTTATTGTGTATTAATCTTTATTTTATATTTTATTAATATATAATTATAATATAATCATTCGTTTTCACAGTTCGATGTTTTTGCCAATGAAAATAGTTTCAAAAGAAGCTTTAATTAATAATTAATAATTATTAATTATTAAATAATTATTTATATCTTTGCATGCCTATAAGGAAATAATTCCAGAAACCACAAGATACTGGTCGTTTCATGTGTCGTCTTTTCTTCTCTACAGGAGTTCAGTAAGGAGGTAGAGAGCCGCTCCAGTCTGAAGGCCTCGGTGCTGAATGAGGGAAACCAGCTGCTCAGACTCAAAAAGATGGACACCGCGTCTCTGCGGTCTGAACTCGCCCGTCTGGACTCTCAGTGGTCAGAACTGCTTGCCCGCATTCCTGTAGTTCAAGAAAAACTCCACCAGGTACTGACTGCTCACTAAACAGGCTTATCTGCTCCGATACATAGGATTAGTTTAAATTCTGTGGTCCATTGGTCAGATCTTTCTTAGTCTATGGTTTTTTAAAGATATATTGTTTGTTGTTTTAGTCTCAGATGGATAAGCTGGCATCCCGTCACGCTATCGCTGAGCTTGTGAACTGGATGTCATTGATGGAGAGAGTCATAGAAGAGGATGAGGAGAATCTCAAAGGGGCTGTTGGGTCAAAGGTCATCCAGGAGTACCTGCAGCGATACAAGGTGACAGCTTTTACTGTTTTACTCCTGTTAGAGTCTACAAAAGGTCTATTGTATTTAAGTGAGTAATATTTTTCCAAATTAATTTATTGGTTGGACTGGATTTTAGGGCGATCATCAGAAGTCTAGCTACACGAGAGTAATTATGAATTTTTTTGTGTTTTGCTAACTGTTTTCTCCATGCTGTTGTCTTTTACTTTCTGTAGGGCTTCAGAGTGGATGTGAACTGCAAACAGCTGACTGTGGACTTTGTGAATCAGTCAGTGCTCCATATCAGTGGTGCGGATGTGGAGAGCAAACGCAGTGATAAAACAGATTTTGCGGAGAAACTGGGCGCCATGAACTGCCACTGGCAGACACTGCAGACACGTATCACTGAGAGGGTGAGACTTCAGGGGCCTCATTTATAAAGTGTGCGTACACTTAAATCCACACCAACGCCCATATTTGTCAAAACTGCCATTGACGTGGAAAAGTGATAAGTGTCACATCAGGTTCTGAGCAGACGTACGCACTTTTTCTTGTCGGAGTACTGCAGGTTTTTGTAAATGTAAGCTGTTCTTGCAGCTCACTGTTCTAAGTGAAAGAATTTGGACGATGACTGGTGATCTTTTATATGTTAATGACATGAATTAGGTGTCGTTTACAAGGCAGAGAGCTGAAACTATTCAGTTGCGCGCAAGTTCAAGATCGTTTGCGATTCATAATTTCACATCTGAAAGAGAGGCGTATGTGGGTTTTCTATGCGTACATATATTTCAAACTGCGCAACATTTTATAAATGAGGCCCCAGATGCAGCTCATACATACTATATACAGTTTTCAAACTCTATTCAGACTTTTGGTAGATAATTTCATTCTGAGCTGTTCTATACATATTTCTTTTTTACGTGTTATATACTTTTAGGAAATTTTTAAGATTAAAATGAAAAGTTTTTCATTTATGTGTGTGTGTGTTTATATAGGTAATATTTTGTAAATGTATATAAAAAAATAGATATTTGGATATTAAAAAATGTAATATTTAAAAAAATATTATTATCCACAATTTATTTTTTGTTTCCAGAAGTTTCAAAAACAGCATGTTCTACAATATAAACTATATTATATTATAACAATATAATACAATATAAAAAATAAATACGATTTCAGTTTATCTTGTTTTTTTAAGCATTTTTAGTAATTATTAATTTAGCATTTTAGTCATCCTATGGCCCCTTGGAAGGTTTATGAGAGGCCCTCTGGTTGAGAATCACTGTAATAGTGTTTTATTTATTTATTTTTAGTGTGTGCCAGCGATGATGTCATTGTAATATCTGCATACTAAATTGTGATTACATAAAGATTTATAATAATTAGTGTTACTATTTGGTACATAATTGCTCAATTAAGTTGTATCATATAATTGCATAAATGTGTTGTTAAATGTTCATTTTTGTTGTTTCAGGTACAGTATCTGGAATGCTTGTTGGAATCCTGGGTTGAATATGAGGGTAAAGTTCAGACTCTTCAGGCATGGCTGAACGCTCAGGAGGACAGACTCAAGACGAAGCACAGGATTGAGAACTTATCCTCTGTGCAGAACGCACTTAAAGACTGCCAGGTTTGACCCATTGACCAAACACGCAGTCTTCTTTTATTCAACATGACCTCCGTGACTGGAATACAGATTTTCTCTCTTTTTCTGACATGTAACTTCAGGAGATGGAGGAGATGATGAAGGAGACGGAGAGGGAGCTGGAGAGAGTGGAAGAACAGGCTTGTGCTCTCGTCCAAAATAAAACCGACGAGGCCTGTGCTGTTGTCATGGAGTCTCTACAAGTCTTGAACAACACATGGGCCAATCTGGACCACCTGGTATTTACTGTTTTAATGTGATTCTATAAGTCTCTTTAAACGTTACAGTGTTTATATGTGGGTTTCTGCATGTAAATTGTATTTGGATTGCTGTGTCTCAGATCGGACAGCTGAAGATCAGTCTGAAGTCTGTCCAGGACAAGTGGAGTCAATACAAACAAGCGTCTGAAGAGATCAACGGCTACCTGACGGAGGGACGCTACTCTGTGTCCCGCTACCGTCTGCTCACAGGATCTCTGGAGGCTTCACGGCTACAGGTGGAGAGTCTACAGGTAAAGCAAGTTCCAGTTCATTTGCAAATCATGGCTTTCATATGGTCTCATATTGTTTCCTCGGACATCTGTAGAACCTGCAGGAGGAGCTTGAGAAACAAGAGAGCAGTCTGAGGAAGTTTGGATCAGTTACACATCAGCTTCTGGAGGAGTGTCACCCGTCTGTGTCTGACACACTCAATAACACACTAAAAGACATTAACGCCAGGTCCATTTTTCATTTTTTTATGTATATATATATATATATTTGTACAATAATACTCAAAGTACTTTTTTTGTAAATGTTTATGTGTTTATAATTATAGTCCTAACTTGAGTCTAAGACACACATATCAACAAAAAAATGCATGTCTGTAATCCAAACTGCAGGCATTTTAGTTTGCAAATGCAAAGTCATTTTGGCTTTGTGAGTGAGGTTGATGTAATAGAAGTGTGTGTGGGTTTTGTGGTCTTCAGATGGAACAGTCTGCAGGAGGAGATCGTGGAGCGTCTGAAGAGCAGTAAGGCTCTCCTGCAGCTGTGGCAGAGCTATAAAGATCTTTATGGACAGAGCGACTCCAGCATCCAGACACTAGAGGAGAGAGCAAACCAGATGCTGAAGACCGCCAGCCACAAAGACATCACAGAGGAGGACGTGTCCACCTGGATTCAAGACTGTGCTGTGAGTGTAATATTGATTATGATTATGTGGTAACACTTTCAAAAGTTGTATCTGTTAACATTAACATTAGTTAATGTACTAACATGAACATTATCTTTAACAAATGTTAATAAATGCTGCAAAAACGTTGTTTTTTAGTTTGTGAGTTAATGCTAATGAGACCTCATTGTATTGTGTTACAGATTGTTTCCAGGTTCATTGTTCACTTTCATAACAATTATTGTTATTGTGTACTGTAGCAACAAAACTGTATTTTTATAAGTGAACTTGACAATATTTGCATATCTTACAAGTGATCAGTTACTTCTTTTATCTGATATATTCTGTGGTTAGTCAAGAGTATCATTAATTAAATCATTAATAATTATTTTTTTATTAATTTTAATCAATTTTTTAACTTTTTTTTTTTTAGATGTAATGCCTTAAATTCAATAGTGTGATATACTCTCATAAATGTTTGTGTATTCTACTAATGCACTAATCATACATTCTAAACAGCAACGGTTTCTGTACATTTTTGTATTTCATATTCACCCTTATTGAGAATGTAGAATCATGTTCATCTCAATCACAGTTGTATATGCATTTAATTCATTCATAATTATTTTTAATGAGTTTAATGAGTGAGTTGTATGCTCTCATAACTTATACTATGTTTTAATACTTTACCTCTACATAATACTAAGTATTAAATATTATAATGCATTAAAACACATGATCAATGCTATAAACAATAAATCATATCATGCATTATACATTTAAGAATGGTTACCGTGAGTAAGTTAGGGAATTATGCATTACAGCTGTGGTTATAGTTGTTACAAAAATAATTACAAAAAAGTAATTATTATGTGTAGCATATGGCATTATAGATACGTTTATGAAGCATTAAGAATATCTGGACACTATTTATGATTTAGAGCTCTAAATCTACTATTGTAAACCCTGTAGAATACAGAAATGGTTTGTGAATAGTGTTTGTGGATCCTAAGTGTTCACTAAATTCTGAACAGCAACTAATTATGTCAATGTTTTTTATTTCATAATCAGTACTTAGTGTAATCAGTACAGTAATTTACTCTCATCCCATGTTCCCTCAGGAGCTGCTGCGCTCTCAGGCTCCCGTCCAGGCGTCTCTGCAGGTTTTACTGGAGCTGGGAGAGCAGCTCAAACAGCAGGTGGACACATCAGCTGCGGCCTCCATCCAGTCTGACCACCTGTCTCTCACCCAGCGCCTCAGTGCTGTAGAGCAGAGCCTGAGCCGACAGCAGGTGGCGCTGCAGGTGAGTGAAGAAGAGCATTGAAGTGGCTTGTGAGAGTGTTTTAGTGTTTGACACTGAGGGTTGTTTTTCTCCCCAGGCTGGGGTTCGCGACTATGAGACGTTTAACGAGCAGTTGGACTCTCTGTCCCGCTGGATCGTGGAAGCCGAGGAGGTTCTGAAAGCTCAGGATCCCAACGGTTCCTCTGACCAGTCACTGATCCAGGACCGCATGGAGGAACTCAAGGTATACAAGAATGAATAGATCACTTATGCTGGGATGCCTGAAATATGCAAAGATCAGATCAGTGTTGTTATTGTTTTCTAAAACGAATTAATTTTGTTTTACATGAATTGAAATGAAGCTGAAATAAAATAAAACCTAAATAGATAAGATGAAAAATTACAAATAAAAGATTAGAAATGTTACCTTGGCAACCAGCTGAAATAAAATAAGTTTGAGCTGAAATATTAAATGACTAAAACTGAAATAAAAAATTAATTAAAATCATTAAAGCACATAAAATTACAAACAATTTAAATCTGAAAATCTAAATATAAAAGCTAATTCAAAATATTAATAAATACTACAGCAGTATATAAATAATACCAAAATAACCTTAAAATAAAGCTAAAATAAAAATATTAAAATGACTAAAACTAAAATTTAAATTAAAAAAATTAAAAAATGCATTAAACTGACGTAACAAAATTAAACCACAATTAAAATCTGAAAAATAAAAGCTAATTCAAAATACTATAGTTGTATATAAATAATACCAAAGTAACCCAGGATCAGGGTGGTCGATATGTACACTGGAAATCAAAATATTGAACCCAGCTGATGTTTCTATTTGTTAAAAAACCCTTTGTTCCAATTTTTTTTTTTGCTTAAAATGTACATATACATAAATTATGTAAGAAAAAAATGTAAGCAGTTTTCATTTGATTCACTTTTCTTTTCTTTTTTTTTATCAATATAACACAAAATCTGAAAACCGAAAATGTGCAATCACTTAAAATGACCTGACCAATATATTAATTGACCACCAATGTTTTTGTTTATTTCTTTTATTTATTTTTTGTGCAGAAACAAATGCTGAAGTTCAGCAGTATGGCTCCTGATCTGGAGAGGCTGAATGAACTGGGTTACAGACTCCCTCTCAACGACTCTGAGATCAAACGCTTGCAGAACCTCAACAGAAGCTGCTCCACCACCTCAGCTCAGACCACTGAGAGATTCAGGTTTGCTCCAGCTCATTATAAAGAGAGGTTATATCATTATTAAATACTTCCTTCTCATAACTTTCTTAAATACCCTGCATGGCTCTTTTTGGACTTTGTAAAGACCTTCATGGAAATGCATAGTACTACAGCAGATATTGTTTGAGTGTCTGTTTACCTTCTAAAGGATGTCTAAATTCTCTTCTCAGCAAACTTCAGGCCCTGCTACTACAGCAGCAGACCTTTCTGGAGAAGTGCGAGACGTGGATGGAGTTCCTGGTGCAGACGGAGGAGAAACTGGCCGTGGAGATTTCCGGAAACTTCCAGAGCCTGATGGAGCAGCAGAGAGCTCATGAGGTGAGGCATACAAAAGCAAATTAGGAGTTGCAAACCTAGCCTAGATACTAATAAATGAGCAATGTTACAGCTGTTTCAGGCAGAGATGTTCAGCAGACAGCAGATCCTTCACTCTATCGTCAGTGATGGACAACGCATGCTGGAGCAGGGACAGGTGGACGACAGGTGAGCAACATCATCATCAGCATCAGATATATGCATATGCAAGATACTAGCATTCAAGATACCTGAACAGACTGAATGCTCATATCGAAACTGACCGTGTCTCCAGAGATGAGTTCAAGCTGAAGCTGGCTCTGCTGAGTAACCAGTGGCAGGGGGTGGTGAGACGGGCACAGCAGCGCAGGGGCATCATAGACAGTCTCCTGTGGCAGTGGCAGCGCTACAGGGAGATGGTGGAGAAGCTGAGGAAGTGGTTGGTGGAAGCGTCCCATCAGGCCGAAACCCTGCAGGCGGGCACACCTGTGCCACTCCAACAGGCACGAGCCATGCTGGATGCAGTTCAGGTAAGTATTGTTTGACCTAATATGCTTTTGTGCTGGCTGTTAGCACCCCTGCTGACGCTCTGTTGATCCTGCAGCTGAGGGAGAAGGTTCTGCTGAGGCAGCAGGGCAGTTACATCCTGACGGTGGAGGCAGGGAGACAGCTGCTTCTGTCTGCTGACACACGAGCTGAAGCCGCTCTACAAGAGGAGCTGCTCGACATACAGGAGCGCTGGAAACACGCCAACATCCGCCTGGAGGAACAAAAGAAAGAACTGGCCATCCTGCTCAGGGTACAGATCTTTGTGTCACAGCTCCACCTGTTTTCCTGTTTAGTGATTCTTTTCTTTCAGAGTATTCTTAAAACTGAGTCATCCATCGCACAAGAAAAAATGGAAAATATCAGGAAATATTTTTAATTGTAATTTTCAAGTCTGGAAATTGATGAAAGCGTATATATATATTATATATATATATATATATATATTTTTTTT